CTCTGCATCAACTATGGATACGCACGGCCATGTATTTAAGGGATGTGGGGTAGGAAGAATGTGTGGATGAGTTCTAGGAAGGTGCATGAGAGTAATTTCATTTGCCATAAAAAAGGGCACAGTGACATTCATGTGTAACTATTTTTTATGCTTCTATGATGCTTTGAGCAAAGAACCACTTGCAGTAAGTAAGAGACTGAGATAGTGAGATGTGCGAATGGTATCAAGCTTGCTTCCTGGCATGGACTGTCTACTTAATTAGCCACTAATTTTATACTGTCAAAACAAAACCAGCAAATGGAGCTTTCCACACAGGTGATGACACATACTGAAGTGGTTGCAAATCAAAGTAGGAGGAGCTCATGTAATCCAGAAGGATTGCATGGTTCAACTGCAAAGTGGATTTCTTGCAATGGCATGAAAGTACCCCTGATGGTCCATGTTACCCCATGTTCCTCTTATCTTTATTATATCCTTACCTCAACTACCTTTTGTTTTCCCTCATCCAAGTGCTTGCTTCTCTTGCAAGTTCTTTAAGTAGAAACATATTGTAGTTGCAAGCAATTTGATGCATCAGTTGTGGGCAATCTAGAGGATCACAGAGATATGCTAGTAAAAACGATACGAAAGCGAAAAGAGAAGAAGATCATCATTATAGGGTTTCCAAAAGGCATTGAAGAACAATATATGTCCTTAGTCAGAGGTATCAACAAACTTCAGTTACAAAAACATATGAAGGTATGAGTACAAATGCTCACCCTTTTGGAGGCTAGATCATTGATGCATAACTGCATTAGAGTTCACAAGTCATGAGTTCTCTATCTGCATAGAGCTTGGAATCAGAGCTCACACCTGGAAAACCCAACAGTGATATTATTTTAGTAGGGGCTAAATCTTGGATAGTGCCAAGCTCACATCTTAGGCTTAGTTGGACCAAGACTCAATGTAGACTACTCTGGTAGAGACAGAACAGTTTCTCATGGAATTTTTTTGTGGATATTGCTGCCACATTTTTTGCTGTAATCACTCCTGTCATTTTAATACTTGCATCTCTTTATTCCTCAACTGAATTGTCCCTATGATCTGGTCTTTTCTTTCTATGGGCAATTCCTAAGTGGACCTCCAGAAAGGGCAGGCAAATCGAGCTCCAATTTGATCAAGAAAGATAGTGGGGTGATGAAAGCAATGCATTGCTACCCTTTATTCTTCACCCATTTCTTGTTTAAAACAAGGTGATGGCAGTATGGCACTATTTGCTTGGCCTGTTTGGGATTTGGTGAATGTGAATATTGCCACAGTGTCCCATGCTATTGGGTGGCAACAATCACTAGCTTTTCATTTGTTTCAGTTACCCGTGAAACCTCATGGTAAATTAATAAATAGCATCTGGTACTAGTTGTCAAGCAGAAGAATGATTAAGGAAACTGTCAAGTAGTATGAGTGCTGAATAATTAGGGGACTGATGATGCTGGTGAGGGACCCAAACCTGAAATTAAGCAGGTGGCAACCCTAGTCCCAACATGCATATAATACTAATTCCAACCTTTTTTCTTTATGTGAGTTGTGCAGAGGAGAGGACAGCAGAATTGGACAGTTCCATTGAAGCTAGCTGCTTGTTTCTTCTTTTTGTTTGGAGGTGAAGCAGCCTCAATCATCCCAATGTAGAGGCACTGCTCCAACCAAGTGTTGTTCAAAGAATGTGGTATATCAGCAGTTCAAGCACATTGGTAGCAGGGTTTGTATGTGCAAATCTGTACAAACAAAGAGAATTATTCTAGAACATGTGTGTGGGGAAATTTCTGGCCACTGTAGTTTTCAGCTTGTGAAATGTAGACCTGCCTCCTCTTCGGAGATAAATGGTTGATTTCATTGGGGGAGAAAACTCCCTCCTCTTTTGATAGGGCATATTTTGTTTTGTCAGGATAAGATTCTGAGCGACAATTACTCTATTAATATTTCATTTTTTATGTGGTCCAAAATTATGACCAGAAGAAAGTTTTTTTTTGTAATACAAATTTAATAACATCAATTTTATGTCACAAACATTATGTATTAATGGAGTAATTATTAGTCAAAACCTTGTCCTAACAAAATAAAATATGCCCTATAAAAAGAGGAGGGAGTATAGGTGGCTAATCCAAAGACACCCAATAAGTGGAATGTACTACCTTCACACATAAAAATCAACAGGGCAGTTTGCTTCCTCTAGAGTGTCTCATCAGATGCTTAGATTTTCTTACCCATCATAATCTTTAAGTGACATAATTTCCAGAACATAAAGTTCTTAAGAAGACCTCTCTAATCCTTAGAACTTGAATTTTTGACTCCATGAAAAGGAGTCTAAATCCTTGACTAATAGTTCCTATAAATGTTATATTCATATTCGGTGCGCTCTTTCCATGTATCCGAAAGTTTTGTAAGTTTGACACATTCATAGTGCTGAAAAAGGCTACCTAGCATGGGTCGGGGGGATACAATTCCACCTTCTTTTTTTTCCCCGAACACGCGAAAGATGTGCGCGTCACTATAGGAATACAATTCCACTTGCCATTGCAACATATTTTGGCACCATTTTATGCAGACATGAGTGCTGCACCTGTTTAGCTTGTGACTGAATGCAAGGTGTGCCACTGTAAATCATCATCTTATGATAGGTAAACTTACACATTGAAATTGATATTAAGCCACGGTTATTTTCAATTAATTCTTTTAGATGATGGAGGCTTTCAGAATTCAACCATTTACACCAAGTTGACACAAAAGCACCGAGCACATTCTAATTAATTTTATGCTCATTCAATTTAGAGCAGCAAATTTGTGTAAAATTTAGTATTAAACCTTACATTTTATTACCTCAATCCCATGTACAAATCTCAGGCAGGAGGAGAAACCTTTTGAGGCTTGGTTTAGTTATCAACTTTTTCTTCAAACTTTCAACTTTTCCATCACATCAAGACTTTCCTACACACACAAACTTTCAACTTTTCTATCACATCGTTCCAATTTCAATCAAACTTCTAATTTTAGTGTGAACTAAACACACCCTCTGAGTATGATACCGACGACCAGGAAACAGTCCAGATCAGAGGGGCAAATGCAAACCAATCAGAAATAATTCTGAACCCCACAGGCTCAAGTCAACATGCTTTAGCTAAGGAGATGAGATGAATCGCAGCAGCAGAGGGAGGAGGAAAGGGGGGAGTACTAAGCAAGCAGCATTGATGCCTCCATTACTCCCCTGTTTAATACTCTCTTCTTGGGAGGTTGGAGGAGATCACAGGACAGCCTGTGCCTGTGCCTGTGCTGCTGTGGCATTTCTTCAGAGAAGACTGTGAGATATCACCACAAATAAAATTCCCACTACTGTAGTATGAAAACTTTGGGACACATTCAGATACATTCCGATGAAACCAGAAGTAGTTTCTCTCAATTTTATCACATCAAATACCGATCGTGCTAGAGTATAAGTGAATTGTCCGTCTTAAGCTTTGGGTTAAACTGGTTGGTACATGTAACTCAATAGATCAAACGAAGCATGCTAATTCTAGTAGAGAACTTCCCTTCAGAAAATGTTGTGGCAAAAGTTTTATAATGGGAGAAACTGTATATTGTGTGACAGTTTAGTTAGTACAGTTGCTCTTTTTCCCCGGATGAGTGAGTGATGACTAGCAAGTAACAAGGCCTGTTTAGTTCGCGAAAAGAAAATTTTTGGGTATCACATCGAACGTTTGACCGGATGTTAGAGGGGGTTTTCGGACACGAATAAAAAAACTAATTTCATAACTCGCTTGGAAACCGCGAGACGAATCTTTTGAGCCTAATTAATCCGTCGTTAGCACATGTAGGTTACTGTAACACTTATAGCTATCATGGATTAATTAGGCTCAAAAGATTCGTCTTGCGATTTCCTCCTTAACTGTGCAATTAATTTTTTAATTTATCTATATTTAATACTCTATGCATGTGTCCAAAGATTCGATGTGATGTTTTTGGGAAAAAGTTTGTGGAAACTAAACGGGGCCCAAGTAAGATGGCAACAAAAACAGGAATAAAAGAAATGGTGACCAAGGCAGTGTGGAACACCCCGGGGCTTTTAACTATTTGCCACTCTTACGAGTGGTGCTTAACGATTTGCCACTAGACTCATATGTCAAAAACACATGAGGGCCCACATGTCATTGACAGGGTGTGGCAAATCATTAATTGCCATGTCATAAGAGTGGCAAATAGTTAAATTTCCCGGAACACCCCAACCCCACTTCCCTCACCATTCCATTCACCAAAGCACAGCAGCACACACCAAGGAAGGCCTAGAAAAGAGAAAGGCAAAGAGGACCAAAAGAAAAGAAAAGAAAGAAAGAAAAAACTTGAAAAAAAAAAGCTCAAAAGAAAGCAAGAGAGAAAGCAACCAGGCAGGCAGAGGCAGAGGCAGAGGCAGAGGCAGTAGCCCTCCCTTTTTTTTTTCTCTCTTCTCTTCTCTTCTCCCAATTCACACAAGATTCACTCACCAGCTGTGCCCTCCCATTCCCCTCTGATCCAAGCCTTTCACTCAAAGCTTCCAGCTTTTCCAATTGCTTGGCCACTTCAAGAATCAAGGAATATGTTCTTGTTCTTGGGGTTCCTCTGATCCGACTCTCCATCTTCCAGCTTCCAGGCTTCTCTCTCGTTCTGTGCCATTTTTGCTCTGCCTGAGCTCTGTGCTTGTTGCATTGGTCACTCCAAGAAAAGGATTTTGAAGGCTGGTTTTATTGTTCTTCTGTTCCTGGGATCCGAATTGCAGGCGAGCTCGCTGTTCGTGTGGAGGTTTCTTTCTTTCATTCATTCGCTTGAAGAATTCGGCAAAGCCATGCGAGCAATTCGGGATGATTTCTCGGGGCCTTTGGAACGCGTGATGATTCTTTGACCCACCATTGCTTCGGTTTTTTTTTTCTGGGAGAATTCTGCAATTTCGCGAGTTTGGTCGTTGAGCTCGAGCCGTGGTGGTGTTCTTGATCCGGTCCATGGGTCTCTGTCATGGCAAGCCGAGCCAAATCCCGGAGCCCGAGGCGGAGGAGGCGGCGGCGGCGGCCGGTGTAGCCGTCGCCGGCGCCGCCTCGCCGGGTCCGGCTGCGGCGGCGGCGGCGGCGGCGGCGGCGAAGCCGGGCACGCCGAAGCAGCCGAAGTTCCCGTTCTACCTGCCGAGCCCGCTGCCGGCGTCGAGCTACAAGAGCTCGCCGGCGAACTCGAGCGTGGCGTCGACGCCGGCGCGCGGCGGGTTGAAGCGGCCGTTCCCCCCGCCGTCGCCGGCGAAGCACATCCGCGCGCTCCTGGCGCGGCGGCACGGGTCGGTGAAGCCCAACGAGGCGCCCATCCCGGAGGGCGGCGAGACCGAGGTCGGCCTCGACAAGGGCTTCGGCTTCTCCAAGCACTTCTTCGCCAAGTACGAGCTCGGCGACGAGGTCGGCCGCGGCCACTTCGGCTACACCTGCTCCGCCAAGGCCAAGAAGGGCGACCACAAGGGCCACGACGTCGCCGTCAAGGTCATCCCCAAAGCCAAGGTCGGATTCCCGCCATTGCCACGCCTCAATCGCTTCTTTCTTCTTCTTGAAATGGAACACATGCCTCTGCATTTGACCAAAATAATTTTCCCTGCGTGAATTAATCAACTGCTTCTGCTCAGTTTTGTCGTTAAGATCCAATCATTTCTGACGTGCAGATTTAACTTATGGCATTCGGATTCTCCATTATTTTCTTTTTAATCGAGTTTTCTTTTTTTTTTTGTTGCGGGGTTCTTTTAATCAAGTTCACTTTGATGCAACTCTGATTTTGCATCTTAGCTCCATTTGGTAGTATTTGGTAGAACGTTGGTTGATTCAAGCACGAGGATATTGGAAAAAAGGAGCCACCTTTAGCCGGCACTTCGTTTTCGTTTTAGCTCCCGGGGTGCTCGTGATTATTGTTGGGAGGTAACCTCGCCGCTTTGAGACCATTCGTGCCAAGATATGTCATTGCCAATGCCATGTCCATCCATCTGGACGTGGACTGCCTCCTGCAGCATTGATTGGCTTCATGCCATGCTCATGGTTTCAACGCTTGTCGAGTTCTTGGTGCCACCACCATCTTTTGTCCTCACGCTTCCATCATCGGGGTCGGGGAGGGTAAATGGAGCAGATGACCCTCTTTGGATAGATCTGCAGGTCAAAAAGGGGAGCAGAGTTTGCTGCTGAAGCTGCACAGCTTGATGCTTCAATTCTGTGGAAAGAGTTTGCTCATAATGCGCCTCCTCTGCAATTGTATGAAAGGGTCATTCAATTTAAGGCCCTGTAGATGCGGCCAGTCCAGTGCTTTTATGAGCAAAGCTGGCAATCCTTCTGTTGCCAATGCAAGGGGGTAATGCCCCCACCCTCCTCTTGGCTTCTCACATTCCATGTGCTCGTGTTCTTCCTCGGTCAATTGCAGTCAATTGTTAGAATGTCAGCAATGCTGCGTTTCTTGGTTTTATTCTTTCCAGAAAAATAAGATTGAGCTCAAAGACAGTTGCAAGAGTGTTGTTCTTGTTGGATTTCTAATGGAGCACTCCACTTGTCACTTTGATACTGGAGTATATGTTCATTTCATTATAGAATGGTGGTGTAGCTTTGGTTGAATCTTCTAGTGTTATTCGTGTCCTGAGGGCATTAATTCCAGCAATAGGCATTTCATTTCTTTTCACCCATAATTGATCACTTATTGTCTGTCTAGTGCACTGTTGTACAACATTGAACCGAACAGTAGTTGGTTGTTGGCTTGCTCGCATAGGTGTCATAATTCGCGCTTCGAGATCTACATATGTTGCCCATTACCATGATAAATGGAAGTTGAGCTGGCATTGTTGTAGTTGCATGCTTTTATTTACTTACTAGTAAGTAATATAATTGATTGATCTTATAGATATAGTTCATTATGTAAAAGAATTATCATATTTTGCTTGTGGGTTGTTTACTCATTTGCAAATTTCATTACTCTTTTACACTTGGTAGCTGTTTACTGCAATGCCAGTTCATGCTGCTTTCTACTCTTACCAAATTAAGTCTCTGGGCAGATGACGACTGCTATTGCCATTGAAGATGTCAGAAGAGAAGTCAGAATATTGAGTTCGCTGACAGGACACAGTAACCTAGTGCAGTTCTATGATGCTTTCGAGGATGAAGATAATGTGTATATAGTTATGGAGTAAGTGTGCACTTATTCCATACAGTGCTCTCCTTTAACTTCTTTTTTTGCCGGGTCGTCTCCTTTAACTTCTGTCTTCATTTGTTGCTGTCATGCATGCGATTCTTGTCTTGTATACATTAGAAGGTTCAGAGATGAAAAAAAAATGTTATTTCATCTTGGTGGAATGTTTGGCTTTGTTCCTGTCATTAATGTTTGTGAAACTACCCTGATACATGAGAATCCAAGCATTGATATATAAATAGATCATTTTCTGTCAGCAAGGATTTGTACTTTCAATCTCAATAACATATTCCCATCATGCCGTTGTTACTATAAAAAATATAAAATTTCGTGCATGATGTTGATCAGAGCTCCTCTATGATCAGTTGTTTATAATTCAAGATAACATATCCCAGTCAAATTAAAAATCCAAGATACTCATAAAAAATGGTGCTTTCCTGCAACTTGCATCACTTGATTACATTTAACTTAATGTGATTGCCTTTTCTGTTTCAGGCTATGTAAAGGAGGTGAACTACTGGATAGGATTTTGGCAAGGTAGAGTCATGATATTTATTTTGTAAACAATGCTTGTAACTAATTCTGCTAGATTTGAGTTATAACTTACTTTCTTTCTTCACAGAGGTGGAAAATACTCTGAGGAAGATGCAAAGGTTGTTATGGTGCAAATTTTGAGTGTTGTGTCATTTTGCCATCTCCAAGGTGTTGTCCATCGTGATCTGAAACCAGAGGTAGGCTTGCTGCCAAACAATTAATAGCCAATGTTAAGAAGTTCATGTTACAACCTAAAAATTGTTAATGTTGAATATGGGCTCTAACTGACATAAGACATTTTCTCTTCTATTGTTATTTCTGTAAATTTTCTGAATTTTTTTTACCCAAAGTCTACTATTGAGTCTAGCAGTCAGCAGACCAAATGCATTATTTTGTAAATAACCATATTTGTTGTTCCCCTTTCCAGAATTTTCTTTTCACCTCAAAGGATGAAAACTCTGCCTTGAAGGTCATAGACTTTGGCTTGTCTGACTTTGTGAAGCCAGGTTAGATTTACAGAGTCCAGTTTTGATTCTTCTTTAGTATTTATCCTTGCCAAACCAAATTTAAATGTGTTGAGATATCATATCATTGCTATATTCTGCAGATGAAAGACTTAATGACATTGTCGGAAGTGCATATTATGTTGCTCCTGAGGTGCTTCATCGATCTTATGGCACTGAGGCAGATATGTGGAGCATTGGAGTGATTGCCTACATTTTGCTTTGTGGGAGCCGTCCTTTCTGGGCACGCACCGAATCAGGAATATTTCGAGCTGTGCTGAAGGCAGAACCAAGTTTTGATGAGGCTCCATGGCCTACTCTCACTGCCGAAGCAAAAGACTTTGTAAAACGACTGCTTAATAAGGATTACCGCAAGAGGATGACTGCTGCACAAGCTCTCAGTAAGCATCAGATTTGTTTGTCAGTGTAATATTGTGGCACTCGCTTTTTATCGAATGATGGTTAATTGCTCACTTGCATCATGATATCTGCAGGTCATCCGTGGATCCGAAATTCTCAACAAGTGAAAATACCTTTAGATATGATAATCTACAAGCTTATGCGAGCTTATATCAGTTCGTCTTCCTTGCGGAAGTCCGCTTTGAGGGTATGCATAAACCTTTGTGTTGTTCTTATCTGGTCTGTAAATGACTATTCTTGCTGCTTATATTTTTTTTCATTTTTTACATGTGTCAAGTTATCCATGTACGAGCAATATATTGCTTTTGGTTGTGCAGTTTAAGTAGGCTTATACCGATATGTCTTGACTCTGATGACATCACCAACTAGCCATTTTAAGCAATGTCCATACATTTTGCAGGCCCTAGCTAAGACATTGACGGCAAATCAACTGTTCTATCTAAGAGAGCAATTTGAATTGTTGGGTCCAAACAAGAATGGTTATATCTCCTTGCAAAATTTGAAAACGGTAGGTATTCTCACCTTTGTTACTTGATCTAATTTATAGCATGCAATTGCTGAATAAGTAAATGTTCCTACAGGCCTTGGTAAAGAATTCTACAGATGCAATGAAGGATTCTAGGGTTATTGACTTTGTTAACACGGTAAGACTCTTTCATAGAACATTCTCTTGTGTTAGTATATCGGACTGAGATAAACACTGACCTGCTCAAGCCATGGTACTAGGTGTGCACTCTTCAGTACAGAAAATTGGATTTTGAAGAGTTCGCTGCTTCTGCCGTCAGCGTTTATCAGATGGAAGCTTTGGAAACATGGGAGCAGCACGCACGGCGTGCATACGAGCTATTCGATAAGGAGGGCAACCGACCTATTGTAATTGAGGAGCTTGCATCGGTATGATTTGAGCTGAAGTAACTTTTTCGCATGATTATTAAACATTTCTAACTGTTATATTTTTCATCTCTTAGGAACTTGGACTTGGTCCATCAGTCCCTCTTCATGTTGTACTCCAAGATTGGATCAGACACGCCGATGGGAAGCTTAGTTTCCTTGGATTCATTAAACTTTTGCACGGAGTTTCTTCGCGATCGATCCCGAAAGCCTAAGATAAAATCATTCTTGCATCAACCAATGAGGTCAAATTGATGGCTAAGCCAAATTCTCTGGATGGTGTTCGTTGTGTTGCGCGGTTTGAGGTGGTTGGAGAGGATGTCTTGAAAATCAGACAAAAAAAAGAAAGTGACAGTTTGTGTAAGAGGTGAAAATGTTCTTGCTGCTACTACTTCTACCCCTCCCCTTCGCCACGTCGGATTGATGTTGTACTGAAGCTGTGTAGACGATGTACAGATGATGAGGATAGGAAAAAGAATATGGAAGGGTTGAAAAGATTTGAGACTGGTGTTTGTCAAAGTCTTGCATTGTAGTAGTGCATCTTTTGTCTCAAATAAGACATTTAACGTCTCACCCCTTGGTCTCTCATTGTGTTATTATGCCAGTATGCGACAGCCCTGAGGTTACAGATTCAACTGTGTGCTGTTCATTTCTCTGTACTTGTTGTTGCAATTGCTTCTACTGCAGCCTTCTGGTACCAATGCAACAATCTCTGCTCCTCACTGTCCATTGATGATGGGAGAATCTGCATTTTTACTGCAAGGCTGCATCTACCCAAGCATATGCATATATTCATGGCGATATGCATATATCACCAATGACCTTGGCCGATCCGCAGAAGCCGGGGATCTAAACCATTTCCATTCTCTAAAATTCAGAGTATCACCAGAATTCTGAAGAAGTGATCTCTCCAAATGTAATAAGATGCCCTGGAAGAGGGCTATTCAGGATCAAGACAACCACTTCCTTTTTTCAGGGTCTCACCCCTTGTTCAGCAATCAGTAGTATCACTGTCTGTTCAAGTGTTCATAGCAAAAGAAAAGGCATCACACAGTGACATTGCTGATATTGGTGTGTGCAATGCAATGCTGTTAATGCCGCGTTGTCGCTGTCTGTGCAAGAATGCAAAAGCACTGGATCTGGGGTGCCCGTACGGCAAAGCAAATCCGGTCAAATTCTGATGAAGGAGTCCGGCAAGATGGGACCCACTGACAGTCAGGAAGGGACCCAACATGGTTGAAATAATTGAAATGCTATTGAAGTTCTAAATTTGACCACCGATAAATTTTAAATTATAGTGTTTAAACGAATAAAAACTGCGTGCTCATATTTAACATGCAATGCACTTTCATAACATGTAAGAGGTAAAATTTTGGATACGAACAATATCCGGTGACAATTATTTAGGGATAGAGGGAGTAATCATATTATGATATTATGGTATTGCATGTTCTTAGATGGATAATATATTTGTGAGCAATTTTATATGTCGAAAGATGTTTGATGATCGTGAAAGGAATGCAAAATGTGTGAAGATTTTTGGCATGGTGTGCCACGTGACATGCCAAAGTTCAGGTTTTTCAGGCTGTATGGTCCTCGGTTTGGACCTGTTTGGCTGCATTTGGATGGATAGTGTAAAACCATGAGCACAGGTTCAGTTTAGTAGAGTGACTTTATGTGCTTGTTTTTACTGTCACAAGGTTCCTCGAGCAACACACAGTAAAGTAATGGTAAAAATTTACTACTTATTGTACTTGCTTCTGCTGTGATATGAACAAAGAAGGTTATTAAAAAAATGGGAAAGAAAAAGGAGGCCTCTTCTCAAAGGTCGCAAAGAAGCAGAAGAAATGGCTCAAGCTTCTGAACTCTGAAGTCTCCTGCACTTTGTATGCAGTTAAGTATAACACTGAAAGTTTCTTAAAAGACTTGAGAGTTGCACCAAAAGCTCGAATCATGGCAAATGATGTGAGCTTTGTTTAAAGTCTGAAGAAATCTTTTGTGATGTTTAATGTTAAAATTCGAACACTGGAGGGTCATAAAAGACAGACAACAGTTAGAGTTTCGAAGCAAGATCAGATATGTTATTAACACCTCAAAAGATGCATGATTTTTGTGAGTGGACTCAAAAGCTGCATGATGGCATGCATACATTGTTCAGTCTACTTCAGAAAGAAAAATAAATTACGTTCATTGGAAGTTCAAATCGAAGTCCATTCAAACCAAACATGCCGGACATAATAATAATGTCTGAATCGTTGAATGTTAAACACAATAGATTAGAGAAAAAAAGCAACATTCGTTACTGTAAAAACTACTACTAGGAATAAAATATTTTAACATGGATACTCACTAAAAATTTACAATTAATGTGGAGATGCGGGGTATCGATCCCCGTACCTCTCGCATGCTAAGCGAGCGCTCTACCATCTGAGCTACATCCCCAATTTGACATTTTTCTATCATATATTTTACTTATCAGTTAAAACATGAAATGGCATCGTTTCATATGAATTTGACACCCTTAGCGTATATTGCGGGTCTTATTCGAGCAGAAATTTCTTTAGAAATCATTCAACTTGGGAAATCCTCCTTGATGTCAGGTTCAGTTCTACCGGTAACACAGACAGTAGACACCTAATTTTCCCGTGTGATTATCTAGTTCAAGACTAATCCTCCGTTCCTCCTTGATGGGATGAAGCTCCTGCTTCGCCAAATAATAGTAATAAAAAGATCTGCATATCTTAATGTGGCCTTAGGCTGAGTTTGAAGGAGCATTTGGGCTGAAAGTTTCTTTAATTTACCATGTTCACGCTTTCAAAACTGTTAAACGGTATATTTCGTATAAAAAAATTTTATATAGAAGTTTCTTAAAAAAATATTAATTTATTATTAAGTTTAAAATAATTAATACTCAAATTACCATGTGCTAATGGTTTATCTCGTTTTACATGCCGCTAAGTTGCTAAGCCCAAATGCTCTTCCAAACTCAGCCTACGCCAAGCAAAATTTAAGGCCCGTTAGCCAGTAAAAGAGCGAGATTACAGTCCTATTGGGCCCAACTCACTCGCATGGGCCGAAATCCAGCCTATCCATAGTCTGGATTTCACTCAATGGAGGCCCAACAAAACAAGGCCTCGCAAACAATTAACAGCCCAATAAGGCCCATATAATCAGATCCCTTACTTAACCTTCTCCTCTAATCTCAAGAAAAACCAGAATAAACATTTCCCCCACCACCTTCGCCTCCTCCTCTCCCATGGCGATCCCCTACCGGATCACCGCCGGCGGCGGCGGCGGCAGGCAGCGGATGGCGCTGCCGCTGCCGCCGAAGGGCGCCCTGCTGGCCGCCGTGACGACGGCGTCGGTGCTGTCCATCCTGTGCGTGCTGTCCTTCACCGACTCGCTGTCCTACCTCGGGTTCCAGGTCAGGGGCGTCGACAAGAGGGAGAGCAGCCGCAGCTACCTCTACTGGGGCGCCGCCATCGACTGCCCCGGCAAGCACTGCGCCTCCTGCGCCGGCCTCGGCCACCAGGAGTCCAGCCTCCGCTGCGCCCTCGAGGAGGCCCTGTTTCTTGACAGGTAACCATGGTTTGGCACGTGTATAGATTTTGATTCGTACCTGCATTGATCTGTCTGGGCTGTTAATCCGTAATATTCCCACTTAGGAGGATGGAAATTGTTGCAAAGAGCCAAAGAATGTAATGTGGGATGATGTGATATAATAATGTGGATATGTATGAATTAGTTTTTGTTGTTGTGGCAGAATATTTGTGATGCCTTCAAGGTTGTGCCTTAATTCAGTGCACAATACAAGGGGGATTATTAATCAAAGCGATGCGACTTCCAATAAAAGGTTTGGCTTCTTGTTAACCACCTACTTCTATGTGATTATATATCTTCCTGTATCATTCTGTTTTCCTGAAATCGTGCTAGAATTGAAACTCACCAACTCAATGTTTTGGCAGTGGCAGGTGGGAAACAAGTTCATGTGCGATGGAATCTTTGTATGACATAGACCTCATATCAAGAACTGTTCCTGTTGTTTTGGACAATCCACAATCATGGTATGCTATAGTATCAAGAAGTACGAAGCTAGGAGAGGAAGGAGATGTAGCACATGCACAAGGAGTTAGCAGACAAGAACTCAAAGAAAACACACTTTACTCAAAGGCATTCCTCATAAACCGCACCGCAAGTCCTCTTGCTTGGTAAGAATGCTAGCTCTTAAAGAATAGCCTTAAGCCTTCAAGATCACACCGAATTGAACCTATACACCATGACTAGAATTCTGGTATAGACCTTAATCATCATTACAGTTCAGGTTTATGGAGTGCAAGGATCGGACCAAGCGTAGCTCTGTGATGTTACCATACAATTTTCTGCCATCTATGCCAGCAAGAAAACTGAGGGATGCAGCAAACAAGGTATATTTCCATAAGTTTGCCTCCTTGCTCAATTTAATTGAAATTGGTTGCTCCAATCGGCTGAAAATGATATCTTGTTTTGCACCAGATTGCTTAGCACCAAGTTAATAATATTGTTCATTTCTGTTTATATCGAATTGCTCATGGAAATTTGCCGAGTAGAACTATATAACATAAAATTCAAAATCCTAAGAATGTGGCTTTAGTGTGCCTAATGTTAGTTCCCCACTTAAAAGGACTAACATTGATGTCCCACTGTAAATAAATCTCGTAGCTGTCATTTTTGTCAGCATTGCGTGCGACATAAGATGTGTAGCACTGTAGCAGCGGGCATCTGCTTGTTGAAAGTTAAAATTCACCGGCAAATGGTGAATTATTGCCTCATGCTGCCATGGGATTATGTTTTATTACTCCACTCCTTCATTGAGAATTTCATGTTTGTCATGGTTGTTCTGGAATACCGTGGGCCATGGTACCACTCTATTTACCCTATGTGCCTATGTAATTGTTCATATGCTAGCTTTGCATCTAAAAAAGAGCTTTGGGACCTATTGAGGTTATTGGATTACTTTCCGAAAAGATTTTTTGGTAGGACAAAATTGCAAAGCTTTTGTCTTTCTAGGTTTGGTCAGGCAGAACATCATAATATATCCTGTATATAAATCATTTGTACTGTACTACTGTTTGTTTATGTTAAGTGACATCCACGTATTAGTACAGCATAGTATGTTACTCTGCTTTCTCCCATCTAAATCAGTGTGCTTTCTTTAGATTAAAGTGATACTTGGTGACTACGATGCTATTCATGTAAGACGGGGTGATCTACTGAAGAATAGGAAAGATCGATTTGGTGTTGAGCGAAGCCTTCATCCTCATCTGGACAGAGATACCCATCCTGAGAACATCAAAAGAAGAATTGCAAAGTGGATTCCGCGAGGCCGTACTCTTTTCATTGCTTCAAATGAAAGGACACCAGGCTTCTTTTCACCTCTATCAGACAGGTAATCAACACATTGTGTCAGCTGCTCTTCTTGACTCACCAGCATTAGGATCTCAGGCACGATTTACATTTGCATTTGGTTTCTGCAATCAATTTAGATGTGACTTTAGCGATTCGTGTTCTCATGGATTTACCACGGCACATGGTTTGTCTTCTTCTGTTATCAATTACTTCCTCCGTTTCACAATGTAAGTCATTCTAGCATTTCCCACATTCATATTGATGTTAATAAACCTAGATAGATATATATGTTTAGATTCATTAACATCAATATGAATGTGGAAAATGCTAGAATAACTTACATTGTGAAACGGAGGGAATACTTCAAAAACATCCCATTCTTAAGAAACTCGACTAGTTGCTGCAGTACTAATGCACTTTGTCATTCTGGAATATTTATTTTGTTTGGTATATTCATTTTTTTTATTTATCACACCATGGCTTACCAATAGAAAAAAACAAATAATATGTACATGACCAGCAGTGCAATGTCATACCATTGAATGCTTATAATTTCATGACACAAGCTGGCTAAGATTTCTATTCGTTTTCTTTGGCGTGGATACAGATACAAGTTAGCATACTCATCAAACTTCAGCAGCATATTGGAGCCAGTAATCGATAACAACTATCAGCTGTTCATGGTCGAAAGGTTAATCATGCAAGGAGCAAGGAAGTTTGTGAAGACCATGAAAGAATTCGATAATGACCTTTCTCTTTGCGATGACCCTAAAAAGAACACCAAAGTCTGGGAAGAAGCAGTTTATACAGATGGCTGATGGTTCGTATTTGACCGTATTTGACCTTCCATTGCATATGAAGTACAGCTCGCAAACTATCACTAATGGTTTTGCATAGATAATAGTATAATACTGTCATATGAATATATATGATTAAAAAGTTTTACTTCTGATCTGAAGTTACACTCAAGCTAGGACACTCAAGTCAACCGACAGAACAAGGGGAAGCATGCATGTTTCCTTTCTTCAGACAAGAGATGTTCAATTTGTTCCTCTCTCTTTTTTCTTTGATACACCTGGGAAGAGACTATATATGCTGGTGTGTGATGTAACTTCATCGTGGTTTTGATTTAAACCAAATTGTAGTGTATATGTAATAGGCAATTACCTATCAGCTAATGGTGAATACATCTGTAATTAATTTGTCAATCTGGAAATTGATTCCTTTTTGGAGAAAATCTGGAAGTTGGATTATGTTTAACCTCTTGCAGATGAAAAGGCAAATATACATACCATCTACAGTGCACGCTTGTTGCAGATGTACTGCATGTCAGTACAGCAGAAATATGCAAGGTACAGCAGAAATGTGCAACCGTAGGTGTATATTTGCATGCAAAAGTTTTTTTTTTTTGCCAAATGCAATGCACATACATGTGATAATTAAACAGGTGCATGATTAAGGTGCAAAAACTTAGATGCCTTGGACTTCATTAGTACCATTTAACATCCACTTAGCTAGCTAATTAAGCTAGTTCCTCATCTGATCATCACTCTTCACCAGCATGAAAGGTGATCAGTACTCTCTCACATGATGCATGGCATGCATGATGCATGGCAAGATCAAAATAAGCAAGAACAAAACAAGAGCTACCTAAGTGCAATTAAGCACTAGCAGTAGCAGCTAGCTACTAATTGATTTGATTGATCCTAATTACCTCCTAGCTAGCTACTCCTACCTTAACGCTAATCAACTCTTGTCATCTCATCTCAAAGACTAATTAACAAACTAATTAACACCTGCACCCTTGCGCAAATCAATCGTCGTCGTCGTCGTCATCCTCCTCAAGAAATCAAGCAGCAGCATGAGCTGAGCTGATCGATCGAGCTAGCTCATCATCATCCTCTCTTCTCTATATGTACACGAGATCGAGCAAGCATGGCGGCTGCAAAGCTCGCTCACACCTCGCTTCCCTGGTCATGGACGCCGTCGTCGTCGTCCCGGTGCGCCCGCTTCTTCCTGCCGTGCAGCGACACGCCGAACAGCTTCACCGTGTCGCCGCCGTCGGTTGCTGGAGTCTTGGGCGGCGGCGGCGGCGGCGAGTGATCGGGGGAGTCGAGCTCCATCAGCCTGCAGGAGGCGGCGGCTGGAAGGTGGTGTTGCGCCGCCGCCATGGCCGTCGACGAGGGGGTGGTGGTGGTGGTGGTGACCGGCGCGACGTGGTTCTGGAGGAAGTAGATGATGTCGTTGTAGAGCTTCTTCATGTGCGCCAGCTCCGACAGCAGCAGCGAGTTGCGCCGCCGCAGCTGCCGGTTGTCCTCCGACAGCGCCGCCAGGAAGTCCCCGCCTTCGCCGCCGTCTCCGGCGACAGTACAGTGCGCCGTCGTGGCGGGCTCTTCTTGGATTAGATGGTGGTGGTGGTACGCCGGCGGCGGCGGCGGCAGCGAGAAGGGATTGAGGTGGTGGTGGTGGTGGTAGGGTTGGTGCGGCATCGGCGGCGGCGGCGGCTGCGACGACTTCCGCCGGTGAATCTCGGCGAGGAGGTGCTTGGCTCCCTTCCTGAAGAACTCGTTGGCGAACTCCCACCTGTCAGCTACTATCTTCCTGAAACCCTGCAATTAACATCATCATAAGTTCATAACACCAATTAATTAATGCCCAAAGTTAAACATACATACTTAGTATTAGCTATTAGGGAAAGGATTATGAACACTCGAGAGGATATCTCCTAATCGTTTGCATGTCATCTAAATGGTTATAAAATTTTAGAAAAAAAATCAACAAGATGATTAATATGTGATTGTATTAGTAGCTAATAACTAAAAAAACTAAGCAATCACACAACCAATGGAGCTAGCAATCACAAAAAAAAGAGAGAGAGAGAGAGAAAAGAAGAATTGGCAAATGGCAAAATATACTACTACCTCCATAAAAAAAAGATAGGCAGAGATGAAATCTTTGTAAAATGAAGGCAGTACTATGTAGGAGTATATGGTAACTGATGTTCAATATTGTTGCTAGTCATGTCAAGTGGTGCTAATATGAATGGTGGAGTATATACTTGGCACAGAATACCAAGGTACATATATGCATCTCTGTTTATTGTGTCAAACTTTTCCCAATGATTGGGAGTGGATAGTGCACTGCTAATTCTCTAAAGATGAGGAGGATAGAACAAACTATAAATACATGTAAATGGATTATTCATGGAGCTAGAATTAACTACTACTACGGCGACTACGTACTAATAAATACTAATCCACTGCTTACTGTGCTTGCACATTTAATTTGTGCACTTTGATTTTGGTCAAGACTCAAGAGGCAAAGGGAAGATTAGAGGAAGTACTAGCGAAGTACATTAATTAGGGAAGGTAGAACAGTGGTGCTGGAGCAAGTAGGGTAAGAAGTGAATGTACAACACAGTCATCAACTTATAGTGGTTCAGAAGAAGAAAGAGAAGATCAGCAAACAGTCAGCACGTACTCTCATGCTGCTCCTCACTTCACCATTGAGAGAAACTAATTAATGTGCATCAGATAATGTTCAGTAAAAGAGGCACAAAAAAAATTTAAATCTCCCTCATGTTAACCAGGCTAAACAGACAAGAAAAACAGTAGATGAGATTAATCATCAGCACGAATTAATATACCCCCAGCTCTACTCTATCTTTTCATCAGAAGCAAGAAATATATTTTTGAAAAAAACAAGCAAAAGAGATTAATCAGCTCGTTGGAAGGTCGCACTCAAACAGCAATGCCTTTCCAGCGTGCAACAAAAATCTGGTACAAAACAAAAGATCGATGAACAAAAACTTTTCCAAAACCCTGTCACATTCTAGGAAACAAGCTTGCTAACCACCACATACACACCAAATCACCCATCAAAACAACAAGAACATTAAACCATAGTCCATGCATGCCAGCATCCCCCATGCACTGACTGACCAAACCTCTACATCAAATTAAAACCAAAGCAAGAAACTATAGCAGCTAGAAAACCAACTGATATATGTATGTATAGCTAGCTATAGATCGATTCAAGAACAAGCAAAGAAATCAAGACACTACAAGAACCCGCAATTTTCTTGGCGGCCAAAAAAAACAGCCGCCAAGTTCATATATATTATTGGCGGTTCTAACCAGCTACCAAGCATATACATGTTTTTTTGGCGGCTATGCACAACCACCGTCATGTTTTTGACCGACATGAAAATTACGGATTCTTATAGAGCAACAATATATATGTGGCAAAAATGTGCAATGGTAGCAGCAGCTTACATAGGTGTTGAGCTGCCTGACGAAGCTGGAGAAGTTGTTGTGCTTGAAGTAGTTGGGGAGGAGGTCGCGGGCGAACTCCGGCGGCCGCCACACGACGAAGGTGGTGTCGTCCTCGCCCCACGACACGATGTGGTCGGTGCAGGGGTCGTCCACCAGCTGGTACGTCTTCGTCAGGAACGGCGCCGGCACCGGCTTCCCCGCCGCCGCGCCGCCGCCGCCGTGCGGCCCCATCTCCATCGACACCACCATCTCCCCGCACCTCTCCACCAAGAAAGCCATAGCTAGAAGAGGAGGAAGAAGAAGGGGAGAGGAGAAAGGCTGCAGTGTCTCACTGTCTCGCACTCACACAGAGAGTGAGACAGAGAGAGACGCACACGCACACACCACGAACCCCGCGCTTCAAATATTCTCGTGTGGGCTCACGTACTCTCTCTCAGCTCAGCTGCCTGGACCTCTCTCTCATGAGCTCTAGGGGGAGTGTAGTAGAGAAGAGAGTGGTGGTGGTGTGTGTCTGTTGCATCTCTCTCTCTCTCTCTCTCATGATTATAGATGCATGTGCATGGAAATCTGTGCAAGGAGCAGTGGGTGCAGGGTGTGTGAGGGCGGTTCAAAGTGCTATGGTGGTATAGCTTAGCTTATTAGGGCCTGTTTAGTTCGCGAAATGGAAATTTTTGGGTGTCATATCGGATGTTTGACCGAATGTCAGAAGGGGTTTTCGGACACGAATGAAAAAACTAATTTCAAAACTCGTATGGAAACCGCGAGATGAATCTTGTGAGCCTAATTAATCCGTCATTAGCACATGTGGGTTACTGTAGCACTTATGGCTAATCATGGACTAATTAGACTCAAAAGATTCGTCTCGCGATTTCCCTCCTAACTGTGCAATTAGATTTTCTTTTAATTTATATTTAATTTTCCATGCGTACGTTCAAAGATTTGACGTGATGTTTCTGGGAAAAATTTTTGGGGAACTAAACGGGGCCTTAGCTTAGGTGTTGGGGAGAAGGACGCAGCTGGAGTAGGAGCGAGGAGCTTCTTTTGGCACTTAGCATTGTGGTAATCCCATGCTTAATTGGCCGTTTAGGGCATGGTCATGGGGTTGAGTTAGTACGTGTTGAGTTAAGAGGGGGAGAGAGAGATTGAGTGTTAAAAGAAAAACAATATTTGAAGGGAGAGACATTCCTCTAAATATTGAGTTACTACCTCTGTCCAAAAATATAGTAACTTTTGAGTATGAATCTGGACATACTCCAAATATATAGTAACTCTGGAGTAATATTTAAAGGGAGAGACATTCCTCCAAATATTTAAGAAGAAATTATAAGCGTGTTGGGGATTGAACACATGTCCTCGAGATTGAAACCATACATCCCTTGCCACTGCACTATCAAGTGCATCTCTGAGAAATTGAGTGTTGTTTGGAGAAGAGAGACCTCGATTAAACCATGTGATTTCTAACTAATGAACATCATGGATCAATTTGTAGTGTGCTTTCGTTAGTTCAAAGGTGAAGAAGGAGAGCATAATTTGGGTCTTAGCAGGAGCAAAGCGGTTAACGGAGTTTCTACCTTAAGCACCCTAACCTAACATTATATTTACTTTCACACTTGTAATTAAATAAACTTTTTTTCTACTGTATTCAATGAAATTAGCACGTCTGGTGTCCGTTCATGAAAAAAAATAGTTCGATGGAGGTAATCTTTGGGCAGCTGTTTTTTTTCCTTTTTTTAAAAAAAACAAACCATATACCATATGTCATATGAAATATGAAGTATACGGATTTGCTAAATGATATTTGATAAAACAATAATTTGTGGCCAATTCCTGCAACTTCTTGACTGTCGGATCTGATTCATGATTCGAGTTCCAATGACATTCCTGCTCGATCCATCTCCGGTGAACTTCCGCGAGCTCATAAATCTAGTGGATTGCGGAGTTAGGGTTCAATGTTGGGCTAGGGATGTTGTACACTCAAAATGCAACCATTTGGTATCTGTTAAAAGTATGAAGATGGGGCATGTTGATCCCTACCAAAGGAGCCCATATATTGCACCTTTTGATCCATTGGTGTGATCTTCTTCCCCCTCCAGTTACACCGTCTCTTTGGTCCCTACCATTTCGATCCTAATTATATTTCCACCGCAATTGTACATTACTTTTTCTACATACGCAGGGGCAGAGCTATGTATAGCTAGGAGGGTGCCCACGAACCCGGTTAAAAAAATAGCTATAGTTTATATATTTTCACCATATATATACCCCGTCAGTTTAAACTTAGTCACCCATATCAAGCTAAATTCGATTCAAACCAGAGTAAATTAAGCAAGTGGAACCCCTTTATTATGTTGTAGCTCCGCCAACATACACACTATATATACTGTTATCTCTTACCCGATAATATTTTATTTATGAGTGATTTTACGGTCCTCGCTAAGATACATATTAGAGGTATAAAGCACTGAAAGGTACTACTTCCGTTTCAGGTTATAAGACTTTTTAGCATTGCCCACATTCATATAGGTGTTAATGAATCTAGACAAGAAATATATATCTCGCCACGGTATATCATCATACAATTAATTTCTCCTTGCTCATATTGGCCAACTCAGTGTTGTGTACGTGACAACTGACAACCTCTCATTTGGTGTGTTTAACTTGCTTTTGTTCATACTAGCTATTTTTTTCCAAATATTGAGAATATAGTACTTCTTAGTTATTGCTACCCTTTTACAGTGAAACTCCACCACAGATATATAGCTAATATTGTTCTCTTCAATCATGATCGAATTAGCATATATAGTATTGGTGACACAAGCAGACAATACAGATATTTGCATGGTGGGAGAATAATCAATAAAATAGAATGTAGCATGGACAAGATGTTGACAGATCTAGTGCTGTGTAGCTTTATCTGTTTCTTTTTAATGAAAGAAAGCATGAAAGGAATATCCTGTGTATATACTGATGATAATTAATATACATATATACCATAACAAAAGGTAACTAATCAATTACAAAGTTATTACTATTGATTACAAGTGGGAGGTAAGTTAAGCTAGTGATACATTTCTTTATAAATCGATTGCAAATTTTCAATACAACAAAGCCTGCATCTGGCTAGATATAGCTCAAGCTAGCTTTGAACATCAGAATAGGTCCAAAATTGAAGTCACCGTGGGTGTACATGCACGAATACGTACGGCGACGATTTGACAGGAAGGAGCAGAGATAGAATCATAGAAAGAACAAGAGACCAACTCGATCGCACGGGCATACACTCCTGCATGCAGATCACAAAGCTATCACCATAAACAAAAGAAATGGAAAAGGAAAGGAGAGAAAAAGCAGAGATGCAGATGCAGAGCACGCAACACATGCAAAGAAAGAAGAAGAGATCGAGGCCTATCCGATCCGGCCGTGCAGGTGATGCAGTGGATTCACTGCAGAGAAAGGAAGAGAAGAGAGAGAGAGAGAGAGAGAGAGGCAGCTAGCACATGTAATTGTGCTAGGCTGCACGGCCGGTATCCTCATGGTATTTAGTGACCAAATTGTTCTCTCTATCCCTAGCTGGTAGTAGTGGCATGCAGGGGAAGTGCATGCACACATCCATGTACAGATGTCTAGTTGTAAACAACCAAAGATACTTTTGTGCCTGCCTGCCTTGCCCCTGCCTCCTGCTGGTGACTTGCAAGTTTCAAGGCAGGCCCGTGACTTCCATGGAGCAGCGAAAGCACAGAAAGTAAATACTCTACTCACTCCATCACTCTTTTTACCGTTCAAAATTGGTCCCATAATAACTTCTTCATCTTTGACTAATTATAATTATTCTTTTATTAAACTTCTCTACTTACTTACTCGTTTCTAACCAATCATAACTTAATAATAACTATATTTTGAGACGATAAAAATGCTACAGAAATACTTGTATTTTAAGACGGAGAGAGTGCTTATAGTTATTCTTTACTCGTTTCTAACCAATCATAACTTAACAATAACTATATTTTAAGACAATAAAATTACTACAGTTTGAGACGGAGAGTACTTACGGTTATTCTTCACTTGGTGGTGAGTGGTGGGTGCAGCCATGCAGAGCCACTGGTAGCTAGGGATCCACTTTTGATGCAACATCATTTTCTATTGCCCTTTCCTCTGCCATTGGCCTGCTGCATGGGTGTGATGCAAGGCTGCTGCTTCCATTAATATCATATCAATGTGCAAGAAAACAAACATTCCCCCCCAACTTTTCAACCAGCATTGAAAGAAACAAAACAAAGTTTTTTTTTTCACTCCTTCCTCTTTGGTCCCAGCTGTGTGTAGCACCATGTACACACTATACTGAATACTGATGCAGTAGCTATAGTCACTAGTCAGCATGCAGATGCAGTAGCTAGGATCAAGTACTTCAAGTTCAAATGCACTTGTAACTTGTGTAAAGATTACATATAGGAGTATACAAACTTAGCTAGTTCCTCCACCACCACTCTCCATTTTCCTTTTGCCTTTCCATGTTCCTAGCAATAAAGCAGGAGTAATAGCTTAATTTGGCTCAGTCAAACTAGGCTTTGTGACCCATCCTTTTCCCAGGGCTGCCCCTGCAGGTGATAGATGGATATGTGCAGGAAGATAGCTTAGGGTTTTGGCATGCAAGTACTCCCTCCGTCCCATAAAGGTGACGTTTTTGACTTTTTATTTGCAACGTTTGACCATTCGTTTTATTTGAAAAATTAGTGCAAATATAAAAAAAGATAAGTCATATGTAAAGTACTTTTGATAATAAAGCAAATGACAAACAAAATAAATAATAATTCCAATTTTTTTTGAATAAGACGAATGATCAAACATTGACAAACAAAAACTCAAAAAGACAAGTAATATGGGACGGAGGTAGTACCCAAGAAGATGCCACAACCTGCAAGCAACATTTGCATATGCATCAATGCAGGTGGGCAGCTATATATGTGGCCTAGTGCAGTACACACTGCTGGTATTGTCCCTAGGTGTGTGCATATATGCAACAGCTACAGTTTACATAGCTTGTGGACCAAAATGCAACAAGAAAAGAAAAAAAGACAAGGGAAGAAAAATAAATCATAGCATATAAAACTAGCAAGAAGCCAGTTATCTTACAAGCTATAGGACTGAGGCCTATAGATGTGCAAAATTGAAGCTTGCATACATATATACATGTGTGCAAAAGTCTTTTGCTTCATTGTGCAGTGTGGATTGGCTGGGGAGTTTGAATATTATGGAAGATTCTGTTCCACATATGACAAGTTGCTTTAATATGATATGTTTTGTAGTAGACATTTTATGAGTACATCACATGACCTTTCTCCATCTCCACATGTGGCCCACTGCATTTGTGGCCAGGTCTAGATCTATCTTTGACTGCCAAAAATATGCATAAAATAATGAGAGAAATTAAAAAAATGATGGAGATCATCAAATATCATATGATATATATGTACGTGATATGGAAGTGTGGCTAGTGAAAGACATGAAGCAAGAAAAGAATGTCATGTTCTTCTCTAGATCAGGCCCACATTATCTGATGATGATGACACGATGCATGCATGCTAGATGCCGTTAAAAACCAGTTCTCTAGACATGTTGTGTGCTCCACACAGTGTGCCTCTCATTTCGAGATTCCTCTGAAATCACTACTAATTCTTTATCATATCATGCATTGCATGCAAGAGCTAGATACTGTGGCGCTTATATACATGTATCTATGTGCATACAATTTGCTGCATGCGACACCACTGTTGTTTGCATGTCGAAGAACACCTCTGTTTTCGTGCAATGAACTGATTGATACTCAGGAGTAGTTTGCTAATTAGCTAGGGGAGATGCAGAGGTGACTAGAATAAGGAAGATATACTCACTAGAAGATGGCATACTGTGCAAAAGATGTAGCTGTTTGTTTGTCTACGAGTAGTAGATCAGGTAGGACAATGCAGCATGCATAGAGGTCATGTGAAGAGAGGAGACCACCACCAATTACCAAAACGTGTATATGCCTGATCACTTCTCTCAGCTCCATAGCTAGGCTCCATAGAAAACAGCTGCATCTTGGACTTTACCATGGTTGCCACTCACATACCTGCAAATAACCTTGTGGAGGATTAGACAATTAATTAGAGATGCACTTGATTAAAGAGAGATCTAGATGTTTATGTTGTCCTGGCTAGCTACCTTAGTTCTTTACATTATTAAACTTGAAGGCCACTACATATGTGCAGTACAGTGATGGTACATAGATCTTAGCCAATGCATGTAGCTAGCTAGGTCCACAGCTAGTACACATTTCCAGGTTTCTTATTAGGCATGTATGTATGTATGTTTGTCCCTTTGGATGTACCCTAGTACTACACTACTGAATATCTAGAACTAGAGCTTAGCTGGGGAGATGGATGGAGAGAAAGACACAAGATCTTTTGCTGTGGTTGCATTATAAAAAGAGGCTTGATTCTTCTTTTACCACCTCTATGCTTAAGAGCTTTTTGTGTTAGGAAAAAGTAAAAGGGAGAAAAAGACCACTCCAAAGAGGGGGAGTTGCTAGACAAAGGAAGCTTTTCAGAGAACATTTCCTTCTTTTTTTTCCCCTTCAGATAGAGAGTGAGAGGAGAGGGAGGAGGAGGGGTCAGAAGTCTCAGAGCATTAAGGGAAAAACTGATTAAAGTCTGTGCACATATAAAGGAGCTGTAAAGATGTGAATTTACCACAGCTAGCTCCTCTACAGCCTCCTGCTGGCTTTTGTCAGACTCTTACACATGTGCATATGCACATCTCTTTCCCCCTCATGTCCCTGCCATGGGTGGTGCAGGAGTATGTGGTGCCTCTGAGCACTAGATTTAGATGTTTCTACCTTGACAAACTAAGCCTTGATCTTGTGTCCATGCATATCATGTAGAAGAGCCTTCTAGATGAAACAACTAGCTAGTTCTACACCCTTCATGCATCATCTAAATACATGCACATTGAAAGACAGCTTATATACTTGAAAAGAGAAACAAATGTAGATATGGAATCAAATTAATCATCAATGCAATCAAGAATCAAGAGAGCATTCATAAGCCCTAACATACAACCCCATCATTTTGTTTATACATAAATACTTATTCATACAACTTATTAATGATAATAATTATTATAAATAAAACTTTTATATGCGTGTTCTTAACTATTCAAAAGCAAATGCTGTAAAATAAAATACGACGACAAAACCATGGAGACAACTCCAAAATTAGGTTTTAAAATTTATATTCAAGCGAAACGACAAGGCTCATTTGGTTTGCACAAAAGTTTAGTAAGGTTGATTTCGGCAACAAACCAAACAAACTCTAAAAGTCCTTTTGGCCTATGAGGTTTTCATTCAATCCCCTCCATATATACCAAGTTTTGCCTGATCCTCTGAACATGTCATTTAATTTTAAGCTCTACATGCATGGTTGCCAACCCAGTACCCAGAAATTTTGCTTCTGTCTATCTCTCAGCTTGACCTTCTGACCTGTTGCTCAGCTGCGATGGAGGAGCGCTAGCTAGCTAGCAAGCTGGCAGCATGGAAACATCATTTCGGGATGGTGTCAGCTACCAGGTCATACGGCTTTGACGACGCACGCATGCAGGCTTGCAGTTGCACGGCTGCACGGGCCAAGGTGCATATGGCTGCTGATACATCAGCGCAGCAAGCAGCGCTAGAACAATCAAGCTAGCTATCCAGAGCCAGCCATCGATCGATCGCCCCCCTGCCGCTGCCTCTGCAGCCGGCCCGTGCATGCATGCGTGCTAGCTATAGCTGCGCGACAAGCAACCTAAACGACCTAGCGAAGCTAAGCAGCATGCAGCCTCAGTAAATGTTCTTGCCTTACTACTAGTAAATGTTCTTGCCTCTGCCTGGGCGTTGCAATATCTATAGCTAGCCACCAGCATTGCAGGACGGCCGGCCGGCTGGCTGGCCGGCATGCACGCGTCCGTCCAACCTCGTGCACTGCACACGTGACTGGATCGGACGACTCACATCCGTGAAGCTTCCAATATATCTCTCCTCCTCTCTTTCTCTCTCTCTCTCACACACACATTTAAACTTGAGCTTGTGCAACCTAGCTACCAATCTGCAGCATTTCATGGCCTGTGTGTGGCTGGGGTGCAGTACTGCAGTGTCTATTGCCATCCTCTTTCTCTCTCTCTATCTCTCTCTGAAGTCTGAACATACTATGACCTCTTCTTTCTGAGAGGGTCACAAGCTAGTTGCCACTGCCTGGTCTTCTGTTGCTTCACATGGTGTCACATGCACCGATGCCTCCTCTATTCTTCCATTTCTCTTCTCTTTCTTTGATTGACAGATAACAGTTTCATATGTTTGCTTGTGTGTTATATATGTGTGTGTCTACTATTTTGGCCGATCTGGGTCTGCATCCATTGCAAAAACTACACAACAGTGTCTCTTTTTTTTACTGCACCTATGGCGACATGCGTTGCAAATTTGCAATGTACTACAGCATTAGAGAGCTAGGGGTAGCCATATGCATATATGGATCTTTCCCTGCCTCTTTGAACAGAATCTAATCATGCTATTGCCTTGGCATTGGCTACTTTCTAACCTTTTCCCCTAGAGGAATCACAGTCTGCTGGTCAAAAAAGTTACAAGAGCCAGAGAGTAAACTATATATATAATAGTATTAGTTTCTAGTTGCAAGCAGGACATGCATCAAACACAGTACTACTGATAGCTCCTATGCAAGCTCGGCTTTAAGGACGCCTACCAGTCACTGCCAGTCAAACAAACATGGACTTAACTCTATGGTTTGAGAAAAATAATCATCTGATAATAATTGAGTTTCATTAGCTTATAGTTAATGACATGATAAAATATATACCTGGCTAGCTTCATGTGTATATGCTTCAGTTCTAGCAAAATGGCAAGTGATATCCTATCTGAAACAGGGTCATTCAGATGATGGCAGAAATAATTTTCAAGCACTCCTACTAATTTGTTCATGACATCATGTGTTACACATCACAAAAGGGAAGTCAATAAAAATGCTGCACTTGCTATGAGATGTGAGTATGTGACTTTGTGGTGGAGGTTCTGTGACATAAATGAGGGCCTGAACAGCTCTCAGATGTTCCAGGCTTTCCTGCTTATGCAAGTAGTACTAAGGAAATTTAAAATCGCAACATCTTCTGCTGGTCCCAAAGGATGCAACAGAATTTACTGCAAGCTGAATTCCAGCCTGATTCGTCAGCTCATAGCTGCACATGTGTGTGTACCTCACAATGTCAATGCATGTGTCTGTCTCCTTTAAGCATACAGTTCCAGGTTCATGTCATCTTGATGCATGTTTATGCATGCAGAATGTAGTGCCGGACATATGCTTGATTTGCTAGACTATTTTGATTTTGCGATTAAGTTATTCTAAGCATGTAAAGTCCAAATCATATCCGTGAGCAGCAATGCGCAAGTGCAACCATATACATATTTGCTGATAGCCTGATACTACTCCTAATGATGATTTGAGGTTATCATAGATAGGCCTGGTGCATTTCCAACTGATCAATTTGTATAGCAAAAGCAATGCCAACTAATAGATCATATGGCTTGATCGACTCGATCTGCATATGTGGAGCACGTGATAGCCAATACTCCTATATATACGCAAGGTCAATGGATGAGATCAAGAACTGAAATGATAACCCAGAAAAAGGCCCAAAAGAGTGGTTTTGTGTTGCTAAGAACAAAGCTACATGAGTTCTTGTACTTCTTTAGTA